ACAAAAACAGAACGAGGTGAAAAATACATTTATTTGACTGGTGTATTTGGAAGGGAAAACGGGAGGTCGTTGATGTTGTTATAGAGTCAGCTATTGGGAACAAAAAGTTCCAAGTAGCACGGGCTATGGCGAGCCCGTGAAGCGGGTGGTCAAATAAGGCGGGTTAAATAGATGGGCTTGTGTGAAGACTGGGTGTGGTGTAGGCTCTTGCAGTCGCCCACACGACCCGACCCACTTCACCCTTGCCTCATGCTCTCACAGAAGGTTTAAAGGTTGGCCACCAGACTATAGTCCCCGAACTGAGGGGCATGAGCTACGAGGAGAGACTACGGGGGATTAAACCTCATTTCGCTGGAAGACAGGAGAGTTCATGATCACTACATACAAGATTCTCAAGGGAATTGATAGGGTAGATAAAGATTTAACACAAGGGTCACACATACTAGGGGACACGGGTGGAAATTGAGTGCCCAAATGAGCCACATAGACATTATAAATCATTTGTTTCGTGTCAGAGTAGTTAGTAAATGGAATGCATTAGGAAGTGATGTGGTGGAGGCTGACTCCATACACAGTTTCAAGTGTAGATATGATAGAGCCCAATAGGCTCAGGAACCTGTACACCAGTTGATTGACAGTTGAGAGGCGGGACCAAAGAGCCAGAGCTCAACCCCCGCAAGCACAACTAGGCGAGTACTCAAGATCAGGAATATGAGTGTTGTTCTTAATTATCACTTGTGCGCTCCACTATTCTTTGAAGTTTGTCCTTTACTTAAGGCTGAGAATGTGGGTCACACATTGCTGGGGGGCGCTGGGGGCCCCCGAGCCCCTGGTGACAGCTGGGGGCCCCGAGCCCCTGGTGACAGCTGGGGGCCCCGAGCCCCTGGTGACAGCCTTGCCTCGGGCCATTGACAGCAGCGGCGAGGAGTAATGACGAAATATACTAGACAAACACTTTATACAACTGCAAGTCTTTTTCTCAGTTAATATATACTTTTTTAAACATGAGATATATTAATATATATTAACATGTATCGGAAAGTGTGTGTGTGTCCTCTATACATTGAGAACTCAGCCAAAGCTTGCATAGCAACATCCCATTTACCCCGATGAAGGTCAGAGGTTATATAAATATTCCCCTGACTTTACCATCGATCGGTTTGATTCAATAATTATGTTTAAAGCTTTTTCCCAGTAAATTCTTCAGTCACTTGCTGTGTGCTAGGAGTGCAAGTGTGTATAACCTGTTTTTAGCCCCTAGAGAGTGTAGCTACTCTCTTGTTTTTTTATATACAGCAACGATAATGCGTTTTGTAAGAGTCTCCCCCATCACACGATCACCCTATTCTCTTTTGTTAACAGAAAACGTATTTTAAAAACAAAGGGGTCTGGGAGGAATCCCCACGAGTCCTAAAGAATCCTTCGTAATGTAAGAGGACTCATGGTGGGGATCCTTTTACATCCTTTGTAAACTAGACATTTGGAGCACTGAGAGAACACCGGGGATCACGGTGGATGGGTGGATGGGGGGGGGGGGGAGAGGAGGATGGAGGGGGGGGGGAGAGGAGGATGGAGGGGGGGGGAGAGGATAGTGAGGAGGATGGATCAATGATGGTGTGCAGTGAGGATAACGACTGACTGAAATAGTTGGTGTGTGTAGTGAGGAAGTACACGACTTGTGGCTGATGAAGCACCACCTGTGTGTGTGTGTGTGTGTGTGTGTGTGTGTGTGTGTGTGTGTGTGTGTGTGTGTGTGTGTGTACTCTAGTTGTACTCACCTAGTTGTGCTTGCGGGGGTTGAGCTCTGCTCTTTCGGCCCGCCTCTCAACTGTCAATCAACTGTTACTAACTACTGTCCCCCCCCCCCACACCCCAGGAAGCAGCCCGTGACAGCTGACTAACTCCCAGGTACCTATTTACTGCTAGGTAACAGGAGCATCAGAATGAAAGAAACTCTGCCGATCGTTTCTCGCCAGCGCCGGGAATCGAACCCGGGCCTCAGGATCACGTGTCCAGCGTGCTATCCACACAGCCACCGGCGCCCGTGTGTGTGTGTGGATGGAAGATAAAAAAGCACTTGATTGACAGTTGAGAGGCGGGCCCAAAGAGCCAGGGCTCAACCTCCGCAAGCACAACTAGGTGAGTATATACGTAATAAAATTTAAAGATAATATCCACCCTTAAGCGGAAGGATTTGCATATCAACTAGAGTACTGAGAGAGGGAGAGAGGAGAGGAGAGAGAGAGAGAGAGAGAGAGAGAGAGAGAGAGAGAGAGAGAGAGGGGGGGGGTCCTGGGCCTACGAGACAGCCAATCACAGGAGAGAGCCACCCGGGCTGACGTCATAATGTATACACGGATGACGTCATAATGTATACACCATTGAAACCTGTCAGCACAAGTATCCGCATGACACATGTATATCCTGGAATAATTCATCCCCCCCCCGCCCCCCCTGCTTGAATAATGACTGCGCGCGGTGGTGTTTTGGGGGGTGTGGGGGCGAGGACCCCCCCCCCCACACTGCCGTGTTGTCATGCGTCACGTGACAACAGGTGTGGCAGCAAGGGTGTGGCTACAGGTGTGGCAGCAGGGGTGTGGCTACAGGTGTGGCAGCAGGGGTGTGGCTACAGGTGTGGCAGCAGGGGTGTGGCTACAGGTGTGGCTACAGGTGTGGCAGCAGGGGTGTGGCTATAGGTGTGGCAGCAGGGGTGTGGCTACAGGTGTGGCTACAGGTGTGTGGTTAAAGGTGTGGCAGCAGGGGTGTGGCTACATGTGTGGCAGCAAGGGTGTGGCTACAGGTGTGTGGTTAAAGGTGTGGCAGCAGGGGTGTGGCTACATGTGTGGCAGCAAGGGTGTGGCTACAGGTGTGTGGTTAAAGGTGTGGCAGCAGGGGTGTGCCTGCAGGTGTGGCAGCAGGGGTGTGCCTACAGGTGTGGCAGCAAGGATGTGGCTACAGGTGTGGCACTGCCCCACCCTACCTGTCCTCTTGCGTTACTACAACCAGCAAAATACGGTGTACTAACACGCACTAACGCCACCCAGCCACACCACACCACGCACTGAACCCATGGTTGTGCGTGAGAGCCGTTGGGATTCCTAGCACGGCGTATATTGCACGTTGGGGATCTTGGCATCAAAATTATGATTAATATGTGACAGGAAATGTTGACCACTCTGGGTCAATAAGGTCGATTCTCATCAAGCAAGATCGTGTTGATCAATTACAGTGAGTTATGTGAGAGGGAAGGGAATTATCAAGAGAAAGCACCAAGCCATTACGACTATATAGCACTGGGAAGGGGTCAGGATAAACAGTTGGGATGGGACGGAGGGAAGGAATGGTGGCCAGCCACTTGTGGACGGTCGGGGATTGAACGCCGACCTGCATGAAGCGAGACCGTCGCTCTACCGTCCAGCCCAAGTGGTTGTGTGAGGACGTGAGGGAGCGGCTCCTGCTCTATACAGGGACGGACATTTTTGTGTGGTTTGAGTAACTCGTAAATATGCACCTTTTTGTATTATTGGCCAAGATGGTTGACGGGGCCGAGGCTGGGATGATTGACGAGGTGGTGGGGCGAGGCGCTGAGCTTAGCCTGTCAATGGTGGGGGCTTGCTAGGCTTGGCTAGGGGGGAAGGGGGGTTGACTGGGTGGGGGGTGTTTGCTGGGGGTGGAATAGGGGGGGGGGGGCTCGACTTAGCTGCCATGGGTGGGGTTAGAAATCGGATGGAACTGGATTGGGTTGAAGGGGGTTGAGGTGGGTGGGATCGGATGAAGTGGGGCTGAATCGGGATGGGGTTGGGTGGAGCGGGTCTTGCCTAGGCGAGGTGGGGCTGAGCTGGTCTGGGCGGGGTGAGGCTGTAGTAGTATGGGCGGGGTGGGGCTGGACTGATGTGGGCGGGGTGGAGCTGGACTGATGTGGGCGGGGTGGGGCTGTAGTAAGATGGGCGGGGTGGGGCTGGACTGATGTGGGCGGGGTGGGGCTGTAGTAAGATGGGCGGGGTGGGGCTGGACTGATGTGGGCGGGGTGGGGCTGTAGTAAGATGGGCGGGGTGAGGCTGGACTGCTGTGGGCGGGGTGGGGCTGGACTGATGTGGGCGGGGTGGGGCTGTAGTAAGATGGGCGGGGTGGGGCTGGACTGATGTGGGCGGGGTGGGGCTGGACTGATGTGGGCGGGGTGGAGCTGGACTGATGTGGGCGGGGTGAGGCTGTAGTAAGATGGGCGGGGTGGGGCTGGACTGATGTGGGCGGGGTGGAGCTGGACTGATGTGGGCGGGGTGAGGCTGTAGTAAGATGGGCGGGGTGGGGCTGGACTGATGTGGGCGGGGTGGGGCTGTAGTAAGATGGGTGGGGTGGGCTGGACTGATGTGGGCGGGGTGGGGCTGTAGTAAGATGGGCGGGGTGAGGCTGGACTGATGTGGGCGGGGTGAGGCTGTAGTAAGATGGGTGGGGTGGGGCTGGACTGATGTGGGCGGGGTGGGGCTGTAGTAAGATGGGTGGGGTGGGGCTGGACTGATGTGGGCGGGGTGGGGCTGTAGTAAGATGGGCGGGGTGAGGCTGGACTGATGTGGGCGGGGTGAGGCTGTAGTAAGATGGGTGGGGTGAGGCTGGACTGATGTGGGCGGGGTGGGGCTGTAGTAAGATGGGCGGGGTGAGGCTGGACTGATGTGGGCGGGGTGAGGCTGTAGTAAGATGGGTGGGGTGAGGCTGGACTGATGTGGGCGGGGTGGGGCTGTAGTAAGATGGGCGGGGTGGGGCTGGATGGGCGGGGTGGGGCTGGACTGATGTGGGCGGGGTGGGGCTGTAGTAAGATGGGCGGGGTGAGGCTGGACTGATGTGGGCGGGGTGGGGCTGTAGTAAGATGGGCGGGGTGAGGCTGTAGTAAGATGGGTGGGGTGAGGCTGGACTGATGTGGGCGGGGTGAGGCTGGACTGATGTGGGCGGGGTGGAGCTGGACTGATGTGGGCGGGGTGGGGCTGTAGTAAGATGGGCGGGGTGAG